ATTCTACAAGGCAGCACAAATGGAGGGAGGGGAGACAGCATGGCAGAGAGAGACAGAGACACACACTGTATGTGAGAGAGAGATGCGTCATTGCCCCTTTAAGTACTCTGACCCCACTCTAAGTACATTGCCTTTTTAAGTAGATCAGCAAGCTCCCTCCGTCCTGAGCCCTGTCGTGTCCCTGCCCGCTCTATGGAGATGGGGTAAACGGGGGGAAAGGAGCAGGGGGGATGCCCTGACATTAGCGCGCCTCTCCCCCCAGCACAGCAAGCAGGAGGCTCCCAGGAGCAGCTCCAAGGCAGAGGGCAGGAGCAGCACATGGCAGTGGGAGGAGGGACAGCTGAACTGCCCAGCAATTGATCGGCTGCTGGGCGGCTGCCGCACAGGGAACTTAGGGGAGCGGGGAGCTGATGGGGGGGCTACCGGTCCACCCTGGTTCCAAGCCCCCACCAGCTAGCTGCAACGGGGCTGCTCTTCCTGCAAGCGGTGGACAAAGCAGGCGGCTGCCAAACAATGTTAGAAGGAAGCATTGCACAACTTTAAACGAGCATGTTCCCTAATTGATCAGCAACGTAACAACGAAGCAACATTAACTGGGACGACTTTTAAGTGAGGAGTTACTGTATGGAGAATAGGTTCCGATTTAAACCAAACCAAAAGACTCCTAAAAGAAAGCAGAGAGATGGCTAAAATGCAGTGATTTAGTACTGGCATCCCTGCTGAAGCTCTGACATATGTAGTTACCAGTACAAAATATCTAGCAGATTGTGTCACGGGTTTGTTCCCTTTTTGGTTTCATGTGTAAGAATGCGATAGCTACGCTGCACTTTCAGATAACACAGTGCGTTGACCGTGGTGGAGAGGGAATGCAGATGCACCGTCAGAAGGTGACTGCAACAAAACTCTGTTGTCATCTGATAGAAAGAAGAAACTTGTGGATCGAAATATCTAAGCGTTTGTTTTTAAACAATATTATTTCACTCGAGTTATTTTAAAAGTTTGAAGAATTCATTTCCTTGATCTTTATATTTGTTTGTCAAGATCTCAAATGAGCCTAGCAGTGTGCCACTTTTCTAGTGTAGTCTGACAAGGGTGAATGGTGAATATGGAAACATTATGGAAAGAAAAAGAAAAATGCATTCTGTATTCAATTAATTGTAGCCTATTTTCATGGTTTGATGTATCGGTTACAAAAAATATTCTAGAAGTGACATCACATCAGTTCCTTTTCAAACAAAGCATAAATATGGCATTGTTACTATGTCAACTAATATTTTAAGTGGCAAACTTATTCAAACTACATTTTAAAAATACAGTGGAAAATATGTCTTATCGGAGTAAACTAGTATATTCTGTCCCTGGAAGTATTTTTGGAGTGTTGCCAAAAGCATGCGTTAAGCTATAGCAAATGTATATTTAATTTTTAAATTGATCTCTCGTACTTTTTTGTAGCCAAATGGAGGAAAATTGATACTTGTAGAAATCTAGAATGGACTGCTCGTATTTAGGATATTACAATTTATTATTTTATAGCACTCAGGTGTGTTTGGGTTCATAGAGAACACAGGCCCTATCCCACAGACCTTGCTGTCTGTTTCAATCCTGTAAGGACTTACACACCTGCTTGGCTTTACACGCTGTGAGTAGTGTCATTCAGAGCAAAGTTGCTCCTCGGAGTGTATAAAGAGAAGCACATAGGTGTAGCTATGGCATGAAGGAGGGGATTAGGTGGGGACAGCCATAGAGGTACAGTGCAGCTGCAGCGGTTTGCTTTAAGGCATGTATCTTTCTTTGAATTGTTTATTTTTTACAAGTATAAAAATAAAATAGATAATTTTAAACATAGTGAAAATAATTGAGACTTGAAGGAAAGAACATTGATTCTTTTGCCAGCTAAAGGAAACACGGAATTCTTGGGCAATCTCCTATTCTGTCAGCCACCCCGGAATGGTACATAGCTGCTATAACCGCACGGCGTAGGGTATGTCTAAGATGTGATCATGGCAGGTGCAGGCGTGCCCGAGCTAGCTTTGTTTGCATTGGCTTGCTAGCTGTGGCGGTGAGGGCTAGTCGTGCTGGGCCAGATTGTACTCCCGCAACTAGGCTACACTGCTATTCTCAGCAAGTGAGCTCGACCAAAGCTAGCACAGTTATGTCTGCGGGTGCTGCCGTCGCACCTCCTGATTGCACTGTACACAGACCCGTAAGGACCGGAGGCTCTTTGTTGTTGTGACGGTTAGTCCGAGAGGAGTCCAGGTGGGTGTGCTTCCTTTCGTAGTAACCAATGCTGTACCCAGGGGTCTTCCTTGTGAATGACAGGGAGGAGAACGCTGACCCTTACTTGGATGGTGTAAGCAGTTCCTCCTCCGGGGGACTGGAGAAGATTTTCTGTGGTTTCCTCTCTCTTGGGTGCCACATGCATCTTCAGCCCATTGCTCACCATTTTGAAAATTGAAACTGGATAGATTATAGACATACGAAGTGTGCAAGCTTCTCCCGTGGCAAGCTCTGCTTTGGAGTAAATCATACATGAGACCGTGGGCCTGAATCTCTGACTATCAAGGGCACTTGCTGGTAAGGGATTGAATGCTTCCTTTACTCAATACGGGGCTCCTTTGAGTGAAGCTGCTGGTCTGGCTTCACAGGAGCACTCGGATGTGCTGCTGGCCATATCCTGTCTCTTTATCCTGGAGGCTCCCAAAACACCAGGGCTTCTCAGGCTGCCTGCCTCTGGCGGAAAGGACCCCTCCCGAGGGAGAGCCTCATGGACACTTGCTTGTCATTGTGCAAGCCCATTCCCCGGTTGGACCCTGTCCCTGGAGTATGCCGAGGGCTGTCCCTGTGTCACGGAGTCACTGGGCGATGCTATGAAACTGCTCCCTACGAAGCCAGTCAGGACTCTGGGGAGCCTCCTCTTTGGGAGCAGACTGTCTCCAGGGCAAGAAGCTCACACAGCTTCGGCCTTCCTGGGTCTGGCCTCAGAGCATTCAGCCTCCCCTTCGGCACCGTGCGCTTCCCACAGCGAGTCCGCCCAGACGGGGCTCCTTGGGAAGCCAGGGGGTCCTGCACCCCAACTCGGCAGTCAGACGGGACTCTCAGCCAGCCAGTAAAACAGAAGGTTTATTAGACGACAGGAACACGGTCTAAACCAGAGCTTGTAGGTACAGAGACCAGGACCCCTGAGTCAAGTCCATCTTGCGGGCAGGGAGCCCAGAGCCCCGTCTGGGCCTCCCTCCATTTCCCCAGCCAGCTCCAGACTGAAAACCCCTCCAGCCCCTCCTGGCCTTTGTCTTTTTCCCAGGCCAGGAAGCCACCTGATCTTTGTTCTCCCACACCTTCAGTTGGCACCTTTGCAGGGGAGGGACCCAGGCCATCAGGAGACAGGGTGTCGGCCGTTCTCTGTGCAGATCCCTGCACATCCCTGCCCTCTAGGGGTCTACAGCAATCACACCCCCTTATCCTACCACCTAGATACTTAAGAAAGGCATAGGAGGAGCTGAGTATTCAGAGAAAACATTAAGAACATTCCCACTTTGTCACACCCTGCATACCAGACAGGGAAGAGTTACTCGTACCTCGCTAGACTGTCACTACCTACCAGGGAGCATGGCTACGCTGTTTACAAGGAAATTGCCATTTGAGTAGGAAGTCCCCTTAATTTCTTAAGCAGGGTAGTTACCTGCCCTGTATGTCCTTCACAGACAGCTCAGTTTTGTTATTAACAATGGGGGCTGTTCCCTTGTAACCTGATTAATTTCTAATGCAGTGGCAAGGGGGAGCAGGACTGTATCCAGAGCAGCAGAGGAGGGGACTGCGTGCACTGAAGCACTGGGTACGTGGAGGACCTGGAAAAGGGAAATGGGGGGCAGAGCTGCGTGAGAATCCAGACCCTGCTGCCTACAAAAATAGTTCTGGAACATGGCAGACAATTTTGGGATGTCCTCAGGAGCGACCGCGTTCCTGGGAACGGGCAGTGTTGTACCCTGGGCTGACCCTGGATGGATCTAAATGGGTACGTGGGTCTCAAGACCTGGGAGAATGGGAAATACACCAGAGAAAAGGAGCCCTTGTCCCACGCACAGCCATTCCACGTTGGGAAGAACTGGCCACTGCAAAGGGAGTGTGCAGGGCAATTTAAAATGGAGGCTGCTGCGTGTCTGGGATCTGCTGTATGAAGAAGAGAGAAATGGTGAAGGAGAAGCTGCATGATCCTCTGCAGCTCCGATGGGCTCCGGTTAGGAAGCGAGTCTCTTGCTGAGTTAGTGATGAAACTGGGGTCGTGATTATGGGGGGAGAGGCGTCTGCCAGGCTGCATTGTGTAAAGGGTTCTCAAGCGTCTCTTCACGTTGGTGTGACCAGCCTCTGCATCGCCCCACTCCCAGCTGCGTATCGTCCTTGCCCGCAGGCACCAGCAAAGTCCAAGATATGTGTGTCCTGTTCGTCTCCCTTGTGGCTGCTTGTTCTTGGTCTGGATAGGTGCTTGCTTGGCCTTCCCCTTGTATACAGTAGCCCAAGGCCCATTCCTTGACATAAACCACATGGCCTGACAAAATGAAGGTTGTGAATTCTTTGCCTTTCTAAGGCAGATGAAGACCTGTGTTTGCACTGTTACTGGTTTGACAGGGAACTTGATGCTGGCGATTAATAGCCCTCCCCACTGTTGCTGTAGTGTCCAGGTATTGGAGGGTCTCTGCAGTGCTGGGTGGGGATAGAGGGCGAACCAGACCATCACCTACATTCCTTCTTTTGGGTGTGAAAACCCTTGCTGTGTCCGCGTGTTGGTATCTGCCGTGCGAGTCGGCACTGCAAAGCCCTGCTAGTGTTTGGCGAGATCTGAACCAAGAGGGGAGTGAAGGGAGCTCAGGAAATGGTGTGATTACTAGACCATATTGTGCACTCAGGCTCATAATGCACTCTGTGGAGGAATCGCCTCTACAAGGCTGATTACACGGCATTAAGCATATTGAGCTCCTTGGAAATGGAATTTCCAGGTAATTGGTTTACTAAATTCTGAGGATGCTGATTCCGATCTGACAGATTACGCAAAGCATGTCTGGAATGAAGGATTTCCCCTCCGCTGCAGAGTCCTGTCTAAGAAGTTAATCTCTGGGAAGCCCCAAGAGCGAATCGGCTTGAGATCCAGGGGGGTCTGGTTAACCTAGGGAGAAGAGTCCCTTGAGCATGGCGGGATGGAGGAGGGAACTCCATCCTCCCAGATATGTAGGGGATCCTCACAAAATGCAGGAATTACGGGATGAAAGCCACTGTGCCGTACATGAGGGGTGTACTGGTTTGTCCTGGCCCTGTACTCTAATCATCTGTGAATTACTGAGGACTATCCATTCGCCAACTGACGCAAAGTCCATCGCAGTCCCTGGAAGGGCTCTCATTGACTCCTGCGCGCTTTGCATCAAAGCCCTTCGCACTGTCCTGCAGGATGGGACGAGTGGGTTAGAATGCCTCTTGTCTTGCTTCTGGGCTTCTTGTTCCTCAGGCTACGAAGTGGGAGGGTCCTTCGGGGCAGCACTGTCAGCCCTAGGCTAAGGGAGGGAAGTCGTGCCTCCTGTCCTACACAGCAAGGCTTTGGCTGTTGCTTAGCCAGGGAATTGCGTGGGTGAGGGGGATGGCTTAGGCTGCTGCAATGATCTAGGAGAACGTGCAGGGGAAATGTGGAATGACCGTTTCATGCATGTGTTGCTCTGCGTGGTTTGTTACCCATTCTCACCAATGTGGTGTTCCTCAGCATGACATTCCTGTCAAAAAGGCAGCATGTGGAGCTAGTATGTGAAGGCACTTGTGTCCAGCCCAGTTCACCCAGTCTCTGGGTCCAGCGCAGTCTCTGGGCCGACCCCGTCAGGTGCAGCTGCCCCGCCGAGCTGAGGGGAGAAGGAAACCCAGGAAATGCCTCATCGCCACAGTTACAAGAGCAAATACCTGCTGTAGAAGCCAGGCTCATGAGAGGGAGAGGAAGGAAAGGAGTGGGGAGGCTGCCAGCTGGGCTGTGTGAGGAAAGATGGAGCCCAGGGGGTGAAGTGACTGACTGCAAATCATCGCCCTGCTTTCTCTGACAGCAGCACTGTCATAAACCACAGGGCCTGACAAAACGAAGGTTGTGAATTCTTTGCCACAGCTCCCATGCCTGCTCCCTCTGCATGTCTGACAAGCAGCCTGCATGCTCTGGAGTTTTTCTCACGTCTAATTACAGGAGAACAGCTACTAAAACACAAGCATGCGGCCAGGAAGGGGCAGACGTCTCTGGACATGCTAAGCTGTGGGCAGGAAGGAGTTAAAGGTCCATGGCTAGTGGTGTGGCTGAGAAGTAAATGGCAGAATGCGTCTCCGGAGTGTGGCACAAGGGTGCAGTGCTGCTGGCTCCCAGGGAGGAGCTGCAGAAGGGTTTGGGCAAAGGATAACACTCCAGGTATGCTCAGAAGCCAGCCCCAGGTTCCCAGAGGGAGCATTGCCCTGTCGGGGAAGGAGGGCGTGGAATAGGAGAGGCTGGCTGGTTGGGAGCAGGGCTTGGCAGGGGCTCTGGCTAGCCACGCCTCCCTGCGTTTTTGTGCATGCTTCGAGGAGCTGCAGAGGACAGATCAATGTGAGCTCCCCTGGATGCTGGTCTGCTGCAGGACACTTTTCCTGGAACTGGCTTTTTCATGGCTCCAGCGGAGCAGCGTCTGTGTCTCCTGCTCTTGCTCACCTGCTGCTGCTCCTTGGCGGAGGCACAGTTATTTCGCTGGCTCTGGGGGAGCCAAAACAACCCCAAGGTAACGACCCTGCCCCCCACAGAGAGCCCCGCTACGGAGGGACAGACGGCGGAACTGCTTACCTCTCCTGTGGCCACCACGACAGAGGCTGCTGTGCCGGCGACCGCGCAGCCAGGGGACCGAGCATGGCGCACACTCTCAGTCACGAGGCAGGCACCAGCCATGGACACTGCTGTCCCCGCTCTGGCATCCCCTGCCATGCCCCAGGGCAAAGAGGAGAACATCGCGGGAGTGGGGGCTGAGATCCTGGACGTAGCAGAGGGCATCAGGAGCCTGGTTCAGCTGTGGGATCAGAGGACCGGGAACACAGGGGAGCCCACAGCCGCTGCTCCTCTGACAACGCCTCACACCAGCCTGGCTGCTCTAAGCTCTGCAACGGGGCTGGCTAGCCGTGGGAACATGACTGCCAACTTGACAGGGGAGGGCCACAGCCTGCTCGGGACCGGGGAGCCAGAGGCTTCACTTCCCATGTCAACAAGGCCCCCACCTGCCTGGAACAGGACTCAGGCGCTCTTACAGAAGCCTGCAGCGGCTCTTCCAGGTAGTGCTTCTTTCTCGTTTTCACCAGGTGGAGATGCCCGTGGTGAGATCTTTGCAGAGGATCAGGAAGGTGCTGCCCTCCCACAAGCAAGGGCTGGCGGGGGAGTGGCCTCAGAAAAGAGAGGAGGAGTTTCACCGACAGCAAGTGTTCTGGACTGGTGGGAGCTGCAGACCACTATCAGCGCGCATGCCGGGATTCCAGCCCAGCTGACAGGTTCTTTAGACAGCTGGCTATCCCATTATATTGCACATTCAAACCGATCGGTCTCTTATGGGAATAGTACCCGTCGCAGCCTTAAAAATAACAGCAGCCAATCAGTGCAAAGCACTGACCCTTCCATAATGCATTTGGGGATGGCAGTGGCTGATTTAACTAGGAACCATACTGATGCTGTTTCTAATATGAATGCAACTAATTCTGTGGAATTTTTTTCTGCCAATAGTTCTGAATCTCTTGAGTTTGATTTACTAACCTACACTATGCAACTTTATAACAATGGTAGCGCAGGGCTTGCTTCCTCCTTTCCTGGATTGATGCTTCCAGCGGGTCGCTGCTTGCCCTTCCCAGCCGACCTGCCATATTGCAACAACCTGGGCCTAAGGCATTTCAGATTACCGAATTATTTCCATCATGGCAGTGACGTGGAAATTCGGGCTGCTTTGCATGAGTGGGAGGGGCTTCTGACATCTCGGTGCCACCGCTACCTGGAATGGTTTTTCTGCTTGCTGCTGGTCCCCGGGTGCAATGCTTCTATTCCGATAACGCCCCCACCGTGCTGGGGGTTCTGTGAGGCTGTGAGAGATCTGTGCTGGATTCATTTGAAAGAGGGGCGCCTCCCAATATCATGTGACTCTCTCCCTGCAGAGGATTCTGGGTATTCTTGTGTGTTTGTAAATGTGTCTGCAGGTAATATCACGGGGGTAATGTTTCTTACCAATTTTTCTGTTTCTTCCCCCAGGTAATCTTAAGCTAAATCTGTACTTGCTTTGCCAACTTTGTGGTTTTGTGGGGGTAAAGCAGTGACTTCCATCAAACTGTCCCCTGCCCTCTCCTTCCATTGGTGTGTCTACGCAGGGGGACGCTGCTCTCTTTAGAGTTCTGCCAGCTTGGGTCTGGCTTGTGGCCAGTCCTGCTAGCCCAGGTGCCCAGACCACACTGCTGGCGAGGCCTGTGCTCCGTGCCAGATGCTGAAGGAGGTTAATGGCAGTTGCCAGGGTGCAAGTGACTCCTCCCCCCTCTCTCTGCCCAGCCCCACAACCCCTCTAGCTTTGGGTCAGAGGGCAGGGGAGGAGTGGAATCCATCCAGCACCTGGCATTGGCCACTGTCGGAAGGCAGGATACTGGGTTAGATGGACCATTGGTCTGACCCAGTGTGGCCGCTCTTACGTTCTTATTCTCTCCTCTGCTGCCAGCGAAGGGTCCAAAATCACTGAACGACTCTGCTGCTGACGACGTACTTGGAGCCATATCTGTGGCTCGTGCGTTCTAGCAGGGCGTTGGGGCAGTTTTCGTAGTGTCCTTGCACTTTTGGTGGGGGACTCGAAGAGCTGGGGGGTGGGTCTATTTCAAATCACCTGTCTGCTGCTGGAGACAGCTTTCTCTCTGGAGATTCCAGCTTGCCTATCATGGCTTTGGAAGATGGCGCAATGCTGGGATGGGGCACCGTCCGTCCGTGGTGCTCAGGGTCTCTTCACTGGCTGTGGGTGATGCACTGAACATTGCCTTCCAATTTCCTTCCCTCCTTCTACTGACTTGTGCAGCCAGGAGCACGGATCCGTCCCTCTGTCATTCTGGGGCTGTTATCCTTGCTAGTGCAGTCTTGTTGCTGGGTCCTGAGGATCGATGCACTGTATTGATGCCCTACTGCTGAGCTGGGGGCATTCCCACCTTCCCTGTCTCTGGGTGTCCCCTGGGCACTGCACTACGTGGTCTGAATGAAGTTCCTTCCAGAGATTGCTCTCTCTGTCTGTCTCTCACAGTACACTAGTGAAAGAGGAGAGTTCTGTGTCAGGTTCCCAGCCCTAAAAAGGTCTGACATTAATACTAATCGTGCTAGCTCTTCAAAATACTATATTAACATGCCCCAGCTCTGCAGCTGGGCTCCCTTCCGCCACGTTCACTGGCTGTGGGATCTGCAGATGGTCAGAGCTGGTCTGCTAGCAGGTGTGCTCGGGGCGATGGAGAGTCCTTGGACCAATCTGCTGTGTGAAGAGGACACTTCTAAAGTGTATAAAGTTGAGAATGATACATTTGCCCACAGATCTACCGGCCCTTCCCCCCTGTGTGTATACAGTGTGTGGGGGGGAGGGGGGGGAGAGGAGGGGGAGGCACGGCAGCACGGGCTGCATCTAGAATCTAGACCTTGCAGGAGCAGCGTTGGGGGCAGAGGAAGCACAGCCTGGGAGCTGGCATTGATGGGAAAGCACTGAGTGAAACTTTAAACAAATGAGTCCTGTTCCACCCTCTCCATCTAAGGCTTTGGGCAGATTTCTTCATCTACGTCTGTCTGAGTTCAGCTCTTTCAAATAAATATTGCCGCCAATTCATCATTGCTTTCTGGGCAGTCCAGGCAGGGCCCATCCTCCGTTCCTATTGCAGGAGGTTTTAGAAATAAAGGGATTTTTGTTTGAGGAGATTAAAAATTCCCAGGAATGTCTCGCATAGCTAACCAGGTTCAGACCCTGTTCCGGTGCCTGGCTTATACCTAATTCAGATGCTGCACCAGGGTACCGTTCCCACAGCCCGAGAGCACTGGCTTTTCACTAGCTCTGGAATTGCCTGAGCCGTCTTTTCTGTGCATTGACATCCCTGAGGCCAGAGAGAAGCCAAGAGGCAGAGGATGTAATAGGGATGCCCCCCCGCTCTGCCACAACCCGTGGGATTTGTTGAACTCTCCCTGAGCTTGCCAGTGTTCTGTGCAGTAAGTTAACAATTCCTCAGGCTATGCAGATGAGTCCTTGGCTGATGGCTTCCCACGCTTCTCTAGGTAGTGCTGCATCCTCCTGACGTATTCTGCTTCCGCTGAGTAGAGCTGTTCCTGGCGCTGTGTGTATGGCAGGACTTGTGCATTCTGCTGGACGTACATAGCCTGGGCACCTCTCTGATATTCGAGCAGCTCCTGGGGATAGACATTCTGTTCAGCAGCCACTCGGAGGCTGTGTCAGATTTTTTTTCTCATGTTCTTACATTAATAAGGAGCAGATTCTTCCACCCTCCTCTCCCGCAGTGATGCCTTCCTTCCCAGTGGTCCCTTGCAGAAGAAGGGACCTCTCGTCATCAGTGTTCCCTCCAGTTTTCCCACCCATGTGCGGAATGAATTTTGTTATGTGCACCAATATGGAGGTGAGGTGTGACATGACTCTGTGTGACACATCACCTCCATATTGGTGCACATAGCATAAATTCATGTGGTGGGGGCTCAGGGCTGGAGCAGAGTGTTGGGGGCAGGGATGTCAGGGCTCCGGCTGGGGGTGGGGCCGGGGATGAAGGGCTTGGGGTGCAGGCTGCCCCAGGGCTACGACAGGGAGAGAGGATTCTCCCCAGCTCCCTCTCCCCGCGGCAGCTCCGGGGCTGGGGCCCAGGATCAGCACCTCTCCCCTGGCCGCGGCAGGTCTGGGGCTGGGGGAGAGGCATCTCTCCCTGCCTCGCCTGCGCGGCGCTTAATAGGCTGCCATGCAGCCGCGCAGCTTAGAGGGAACTTAGCTCGCCATGAGTTCCCAGGCTCAGGGGCTTTAAGTTCAGAAGGAGCCATCGTGATTGTCTAGTCCAGGGGTGGGCAAACTACGGCCCGCGGGCCGGATCCGGCCCCTCAGGGCTTTGGATTCGGCCCATGGGATTGCCCCCCGTGGTGCCGCGGGTCTGGCGCCGCTCTCAGAAGCGGCTCCCAGGCAGGGGGGCACAGGGCTCCGTGTGCGTTGCTCTTGCCTCCAGGCACCGCCCCTCTGCAGCTCCCATTGGCTGGGAATGGGGAACCACGGCCAATGAGAGCTTCGGGGGAGGTACCTGGAGGCACAGCAAGGGCAGCGTACACAGAGCCCTCCGCGCTCCCCCCCGCCCCCCTGCAGGGGCCGCAGCGCTTCCTGGAGCGGCGCGGGGACAGGGCAGGCAGGCAGAGAGCCCGCCCTCGCCCCGGTGCCCTCCGCTGCCACCCCAGAGCCGCTTTAGGTAAGCGGTGCCAGGCCGGAGCCTGCCCCCTGCCCCCCAACTCCCTGCCCTAAGCCCCCTGCCTGCACCTTGCACCCCAACTCCCTGCCCTGAGCCCCCTCCACACCCCGCACTTCTGCACCCAACCCCCTGCCCCGAGCACTCAGACACAGACTGGCACCCCTACCTGAGCCCCCCTCTACCCTCTGCACCCCTCCTCCTCCCCCACCCCCTGCC